GCTGAGTCAACCTTGAGCCGCTCAGGCCCTTGCAGCATCCCCATGATCACATAATCCAAATTTAGACACTTGGCAACTGATTAGTATTTATGACGGTGGCAGCAGCGGTGGGTTTCCAATATTCGTACCACTGGTTTGCCCCGCGCGCACCTTCCGCGCATCTCCTTGGCATTGAAAACGTGCCTAAATAGGACATCATAGGGCCGTGGCGGATAGGTGGGCCCAACCGCGATCTCCACTACCAGTTTGTAGGAATCTATACGAACCGGCTGAATACCACCTCTGGGTAGCAGTGTCCTGGGGTCACGTGATCCCCTTTTGTGACCTTCCGACAAGCCAAGTTCAGATTCTCTTAACAACTGTGTTACCAACTTAACAAACACAACGATTCACTTGCCAAGAAAAATTGTAAAATGGGACAAAACTCATTGAAGAAATGTTTCGCTTACCAACCTTCGAGCTCAATTACGGTTGCGGGTCAAGGACTTACCCTACAGGGGAATCCAAGAATTTGCTCTCCTCGGAAACTCTGATAAGCGCATAATTTCCTACTGCTCTTTGTTAAATAAAAGTAGATGAAGCATGAAAAGGGCTCCATAATTCAAATGCTTTCTCCACACACATCCCGCCCCAGAATGTCTTATGAGAAGCCGTCATGGTAAACAGCATTTACGCTTCGTTTAACCGAGGTGAAGGCATCATTCCAGCTAAGAAGCCTGAAGGAACTCTCGTAGTTGTCAGGTTGCTGATGCTGCTTTAATTGTGTACAGTACACATACACATACACACACACACACACAAAGACCACACAGAACTGCCTTCTTGCAAGACGAATTCAGATATTTCCTCAGATGCTTTCATCGAGGGATGATTTAACAGGAAGCGGCGATCTCAACAGCAATTTTCTAAGTGTATATTTTCCACGTTGCCCAGGATACAGCATGGGACATTTCTAGCACATGTTGGGTACGGTAGAAGACAAGATCCAAGGATCCGGCATTAAGTTGGCAAAATATATTGGGCGGAAGCGCAGAACAATTGTTCTCTTTTTGTGGTCCAGGCCTCAGTTAAGGCCTACACTTGATAAATATACAGGCCAGACGCTGGTAAATAGGATTTTAGAGCTTTACGCTGAGGTTATAGCAGTGGTGAGTTCAGAAGTGGGTTTCAGCAGGATCTGACCAGTTCTGGAGAACCTGTAGTGGAAATTTTGAGTAGTTCGGAGAACCGGTAGTAAAAATTCTGACTGGCCCCGCCCCCATCTATTCTCTGCCTCCCAAGTCCCAGCGGATTGGAAGGAAATGGAGATTTTGCAGTATCCTTCCCCTGGAGTGGGAAGGGAATGGGGATTTTATAGTACCCTTCCCCTGCCACGCCCATAGAACCGGTAGTAAAAAATTTTGAAACCCACCACTAGGTGGGTTACTCCCGGTCTTTAGAACTGGTAGTAAAAGCGGTGTGAGGCTCCGCCCACCCATCCGGATGTCATAGTTGATGTTGTGGCTCCGTTACCGGAGCCTGTGTCATCGGCAGGAGAGGACTCCGAGAGTGAAGCAGAGGAGTTGGCAAGGCCTCCCTCTCCAGGACCCTCCTCTCTGGCAATGCCTTCGGTGTCCGCCGAAGGTCAAGAGATAGGGCCGGGGCCACGCACGTCCACGCAGCCACAGGTGCACAGTAATGAGGGAGATGAGTCTTGGCTGGATCCTCAGCAGCGTCGCAGAGATAAGCGCACGCAACAGAAGAAGAGGCGTGCCAGAGATTAAGCTCAGTCACTGGACCACACCCCATAGGGTATAAAAGGGAGTGAGGTGGCCATTCAGACTCTGTGACGGACAAAACTAACTACTATCGAGTCACATTGCATCTTTGGAAACAGCATTATCTGCCTTGGATTTAATTACGGACTGGACAATTCTTGAACTGTGTGTATCTTGTTTATGAGTAAAAGTTCTTGGCAAGCAGCTACTGGGTTGCTGCCAAGCCTCTTATCGGAAGAATTGGTTGTCTGCCAGTTTATTTAACCCCCGGCTGTCTGTTTGTGTGCGTGTGTGAGACGAGGACAGAACAGTTGATGATCTGAGCATGCGCAGAAGCACACGCGTGTGCACATTCCTGTTGAGAACTGGTAGTAAAGGTAAGTAGAACCCACCCCTGGGTTACAGGTAGCTAAAAGAAAAAAGGGCTTCCTGGTGCCAACAGACAAAAGATTTGTAAGTTGCAGGGTGTTGAATTTGTTGAGACCTGCAAGATAGGCCTTCTTGAAGATTTTAGGGCAGGTGGTATTCAGCTGGTTCATACCGATTCGGGCTAACTGGTAGCGGAGATCGTGGGTGGGCCTGCCCCCACGCCCGCCCCGGCGCTATGCTGTCCTATTTAGCAACGTTTTCAAAGCCGGCTGCATGTCCAGAAGGCCCACGTGTGAGCAAAGCACATGCGCGGGCTGGGCGCAAGCACGGCAGGCACGCGCGCAAAGCGAGCATGCGTGTGCTCGGCGAACCGGTGGTAAAAATCTTTGAAACCCACCTCTGGTTTTAAGATAACATAGATCTAGGGGTTAGCAACCCACAGCTCTGGAGCCGCATGTGGGTCTTTCATCCCTCTGCTGCGGCTCCCTGTCACAACCGCCAATGTGCGACACCCGCCAGCACACGGTTTATTGAGCTTTTCGACCCCGGTAGGCCAACCATGGATAAACCCATGAAAAGAAAAGTTTCGGAAGAAAACAGAACTACATATGCTAGTTTTGTGGCCGCTCAGGAAATAGTCTGGCACGGGAAGGGTTTTGTGGCTCCCGGTGTTTTCTTTTCTGTGGGGAACAGATCCAAATGGCTCTTTTGAGTGTTTAAGGTTGCCGACCCCTGATAGAGTTAGAAACTGTATGCCAAGGAAGCACCTTGTGCAGGTAATCCTTGACTTACGACCACAATGGAGCCCCAAATTTCTGTCGTCAAGTGAGACGTTCGTTAAGTAAGTTTTGCCCCGTTTTTACGACTTTTTCTTGCCTCCGCTGTTAAGCGGATCCGTGAGGTTGTAACCCGCCTGTGAAGTGGATTGTTTGCAGTCCTTAAGTGAGTAACATGGTTGTTAAGTGAATATGCCTTCCCCATTTGTGAAAAACAGTCCTGCGTCGCTTTTTTTCAGGCCCTTGTAATTTCAAATGGTCACTAAATGAACTGCTGTTAAGTCGAGGCCTATCTGTAAAAACTCTTATTTAAATCCGTGCTCCAGGGTTGATCCTTATTTAATCAGTTGGTCCACTGATTAATTGTTCTATCTGTCAGGAAATTTCTCCTTAGTTCTACGTTGCTTCTCTCCTTGATTAGTATTTAATATTTAAATATTAAATAACTATACTTAATATTGTGGCTCTCCCTCTTACCCCAAGACAAAAGTAATTTTAATTGCCAATAACATTCCATTATAGTTAGAACAGTAGATTTGCCTTTCCTGTATCTAACCACGAAAAGGCTTCCTTGAATTGAAATAGTTGGAATCCAGCAGTTTAAAAAAAAAAAAACCTTTTAATTTCGGTTTGCACAGTTTGGAATTATCAGGCGCAGAAGCCTGGGTGAGATAAGGAAGTGGTTGGGTCACTGCATCTATGGCTGTGGAAGGAAACACTGTGATGTAGACACAACAGTTGCGTTTTGCAGTCTGAGGAGAAATATCTAGAGAGATTCACAGTCATCCAGGTCATGCTTGTCCCAAAGGTGCTTATTTTTTTTCGAAAGGCAGCTGGACTTTGTTTTTGCTTGAAGACGTTTCCCTTCTCATCCAAGAAGCTTCTTCAGTTCTCACTGAACGGTGGAGGATGGAAGGATTTATATTCCATGCAGTCATCTGGTCATTAGTATTCTTTCTCGGAGTCCTTGAGGTCACTTGGAGATTTATCTCTGCCCTTGGGGTCACCTGAATCAGAGTGTAAATGGGTGTGGAACTAATTTGGTGAACCTGAGGGCACAGATAAACTCCCAAATGACCTCAGTGACTCTCAGTGAGAATACTAATGACCAGATGACTACATGGTATATATAGTGGGAGTCATGTAAGGAAGATGCCTTCAGCTTTTTGCATGAAAGATGGTTAGGGGGCTGGAGGCTAAAACGTATAAAGAATGGTTGCTAGGATTGGGTTTGTCTGGTTTAATGAAAAGAAGGACCAGGGGAGACATGATAGCAATGTTCCAATATCTCAGGGGCTGCCCCAAAGAAGAGGGAGTCAAGCTATTCTCCAAAGCACCTGAGGGCAGGACAAGAAGCAACAGATGGAAACTAATCAAGGAGAGAAGCAACCAGAACTAAGGAGAAATTTCCTGAATGTTAGAACAATTAACCAGTGGAACAACTTGCCTCCAGAAGTTGTGAATGCTCCAACACTGAAAGTTTTTAAGAAGAGATTAGATAACCATCTGTCTGAAATGGTACTATAGGGTCTCCTTCTTGAGCAGGGGGTTGGACTAGAAGACCTCCAAGATCCCTTCCAACTCTCTTATTCTGTTATCCTTCCTTCCTCTTTCTCTTCCCTCTCTCTCTCCCTCCCTCCCATCCTTTCTCTTCTCTCCTTCCTTCCTTCCTTCCTTCCTTCTTCATCACTGGAGGCTTTTAAGAAGAGATTAGATAACCATTTGTCTGAAATGGTGTAGGGTTTCTTGCCTGAACAGGGGGTTGGACTAGAAGACCTCCAAGGTCCCTTCCAACTCTGTTATTCTATTCTATTCTAACTCCGCTCTTAGCCTGGCACCATCCCCTGCTTAGGGCAGAGTCAAAACATGTGCCAACATGTGCCAGGCACCAACAACTGGCAAGGCAAATCACTTATTTATTCCCCTCTTCTGGTTCAACAAAATCTTCATGATTTTTTTTTTAAAAAAACCCTTTGCTCCCACACAGTACAACTTTGGAACAGCTGAGGCTTCAGCATGTTGACAGCAATGTTTGCCAAGCTTGTGACTTCAGCATCTGTTAATACTGGGGTTTTTTTTTTCTCTCTCTCTTTCCTAGATGACAGAGGGCCGCCGGTGTCAGGTTCACCTCCTCGACGACAGGAAGTTGGAACTTCTCGTGCAGGTAATTAACTACCTCGGTATTTTTGGGGCCATGCCACGATGGTACGATGACTCCGCTCGGTGCGGCACGGTGGAAGAGATTTTTAATTTAATTAATGGAATCACTTATTAGTCCTCCCCGCTTTGCATTCAATCCTATTGGCTTGTTTATTAAATTTCTAGGCAGCCCAGCTCACTATCCAAAGAGCTTTGAGGGTTATTGTTGGGAGGAGAACTGTCGAATACGCCGACCGGACTCCCACCCAGGGATGAAATCCTACTGATTCACACCGGTTCGGGCAAACTGGTACTAATAAAAGCTAGCAGTTCGTCTGAACCGATATTTCCAACGATCAGCTATGTCGCGCAATTTATATTCTAAATCGCGTGGCACAGCTGTTCCCCCCCCTCACTATACTACTTACCTTCTTAAGCCCCCTTTTTCCATGTGCAGTGAATTTGGCGCGCACTGCGCATGCCCACGCAGTGTGTGATTGGTGTGCACTGCGTATGCGCACACAAAGCGCACGTTTACCAATGTCGTTTCAAAATAAGAGCAGGTCTTTGTGAAGACTTGAACACTATCTTGAATTTTTTTTTTTATTCCTCCCACTAGACATCCACTACTCTTCCTGGGTCTAAAATTTCATAACTGAGTTGGTGCAAAATATAGCACAAGGGGTGATATAGTAAGACTGGAAGTTATCTGCCCCTGGAATGTTCAGGTCTGACAGAGATAGAGAACCCCATAAAACAACCACCCCACTTCTCCAGCCATTGCCCTGCCTGGGAGAACATCATTGGGACTTGGGGTGAAGTATCTGCAGAATAATGTCTATGGAGAGTCTCAATCCTCCAGGTCGTGGTTGTCCCAAAGGAGCTTTTTTCAAGAGGCAACTGGACTTTCTGGTTTTTGAAGACGTTTCGCTTCTCCTCCAAGAAGCTTCTTCAGCTCTGACTGGATGGTGGGGAATGGAAGGATTTGTACTCCTTGCAGACAAAGCTGGTCCTTTGCCTCCTTTTAGAGAGTTGTTGAAGTCACCTGGAGTTTTATCTGTGTACTCAGGTCCATGTCCATTTGCACCACTCAGGTGACCCTGAGGACACAGATAAACCTCCAAGCAGCCTCAATGACCCTCTAAAAGGATGCAAATGACCATCTGTCTGAAAGGAGTATAAATCCTTCCATTCCCTCCCATCCAGTCAGAGCTGAAGAAGCTTCTTGGATCAAAAACGAAACGACTTCAAAGAAAAAAACAGAAAGTCCAGTTGCCTCTTGAAAAAGGACCTTTGGGGCTATCTGCAGAAAAGCTGATCAATTCCTTGGAATTTGTGGTGGAATGTGGTCTGGGGGTCTCAGGAGGGGCAAAGGGACATTGGAGTTTAGAATGTCTGGTAGGCAGGAAGAGGGTTTAAGATGGAACCTCCCTTGCAGTTCACAGGGTATATCTGTAATTATTACAGAGAATTGCTTTAGTCCGGCAAGAGTCTGTTTATAGGCAATATTACTTAGCGTATATGAGAACATGACAGAAGAGGAGTAAACATAAACACACAATCCACATAATGATATACAGAACATCTGCAGGAGCACAGCAGTGGCCTCCTAACTGTCTGTCCAGTTCAACTCTCCAGGCGATCCCTTCTGGCGTGGCTTCGTGCAGATCGTCTAGGGAACCAGAGAACACACATTGTGGGCAATCGTTCACAATATGTTTAATAGTTTGCATATCAGCAACACAATCACAACAAGGGGACTCTTTCCATCCCCACTGATACATGGTAGAGGCACCACTTCCAGTGTCACACCTAATTCTGTTCAATTGTGACCAGACAGAGTGAGGCAGATCAAGATGGTAAGATAAGATGAGATGAGATATGAGATTTTTTTATTTATTTATTTATATACTGCCCTTCTCCGGAGACTCAGGGCGGCTTACAATGCGTTAAGCTATAGCCTTCATCCTTTTGTATATTTATACAAAGTCAGCTTATTGCCCCCACAAACTGGGTCCTCAATTTACCTACCTTAGAAAGGATGGAAGGCTGAGTCAACCTTGAGCCTTGGCGAGATTCGAACCTGCAGTAATTGGAGGCAGCTGGAAGCTAAATACTACCTTTAACAGTAGCATTAGTCTGCTGCGCCACTCAGGCTCTCCTCATATGAGATATGAGATATGAGATGAGATAAGATGATAAGATGATAAGATGATGAGAAGATAAGATAATATAAGATATAAGACAAGACAAGTTTATTGTCATTTTTTTACTGTGAGCAAACTGGCCCACTCATCTCAAACACATACATAACACACATACATATGCTGTATACATGCATAAATATGTACCAGCACCATACATATTTATATATACATACATATATACATATGTATATATATATGTATATACATATATACATTATAACAGCCGACCTTATAGGCAACGAACTACAATAAAGGAACTACTCAGAAGTAACACCCTATGTCATTCTTGGGTCTTTTGGTGCTTGCCTTGCCTCCTGGAAAAAAGATCCTAACCCTCCTGTGATTCCTGACTTCATTGTTCTTCCAAACCAAATTACTAAGTACAGATCGCACTCCCGGGGTCTCTCTGCTCCAAGAAATCCATGTGATGATGCTGATTAAAGAAACTGATCTATTATGTGACTAGGGGGAAATTTGTATACTAATTAATTATCCCGGTTGATTTTTATTTTATTTTATTTTTGCCACAGTTTTAATGCTTCATTTAAATGCTTAAATCGTTTGCTCTTACTGAGAATATTTTAGAGTGTTTATGATGACATTCGATGCTTTATTATCGCTTATTTTTGTAAACCACTATAGAGCGTGGGTGATATGCACATTGAAATGATTGCGGTCATTATTATGATGATGATCTCCTTCCTGACCAAGTTCCAGAGTTTTGGCCAAGAGTGGTTAAGAAAAGAAACCAAGATGGCAGCTACAACAATGGAAGCCCCGCCCCTTTTTCCATTAAAGAAGGGGAAGGGCTTCAATTGGTTGTGGCCGCCATTTTGATTTTTTTAAAAAAACCCTCTTTCTGCAAATATTCATAAGAAATGACTTAAATATATTTTTGGCTTGTGGCTGAGATTCTCCTTAAAGAATATATTCTTGGCACACACAACCCTTCCTTTAATTTCAGCCAAAAATTGAAATATGCAGGCAAGACCAACAATTGAATTGTTACTTTCTCTCCATACCCTGGATGAAGGGAAGGAAGAGAATATACAATTGGTGCAGCTGTGAGAAACAAATTCCCTCCTTTGGTTGCTTGACTATTGTTACCTCGTGAACACAGTTGTGTAGGTCATTGTGTTCTTTATTGTGTAAAACGCATTTTTGAATTTACTCAGGGTGGGTCCGTTTTGCGAACGGTTTTCGGGAGGAGAGGAAGAACACTGCAGAGGAGATAATAACATAAATAATATAAAATAATGATAATACCAAACACAACCATGATGTATATTAATCAAGATTTTTTTCTACAGACTGAGGGGAACTATAGGTATCTCCCAAATAAGTTTTGCCACACTGACTGTTACAAAACCCTGAAACAGTTAATAGGAAGGATGAAAAACTAAAAATAATAATAATAATGAAAGAAACTTGGTGTAGTTAAGGAACAGGAAATGGAAGACACATAATGCTTTAATTACAGAGAGGCATAGTCGGGGTGAACAGGGTTGAATGTGAAGTCTAGGGGGAAAAATGGAAAAAAGTTAAATAGGAATTAAGTTAAAAAGTTAAATTCCTTTGAGCAGGATTTGAGTCTCAGGAAATGCATTTCAGGATTGCGATGATGATAGTCCAGCCAGAATCTTTTACAAATTACAGTAGTGGCCAAAATTGTGGAAACCTTTTTGGGAAAAGTGTATTTTTGAGCTTTGATGGCTAATAACACCACTTTTTTTTTTTGGAGTTTCAAGAGAATCCTAGTCCACTGCTGGAATGGCCTGGGAATAGCCCAGACCTTCATCCAATTGAAAATCTATGGAGCCGACTAAAGAAACTTCATTAGTCAGAAGCCACCCAGCAATAAAACCCAGTTAATAAAAGCCATCATTTAATCTTGGTTTCACATGATAACAGCTGCAGAACTCAAAGACTTGGTTGACTCCATGGGAAGACATCGTAAGGCCATCATTCATGCTAAAGGTTACTCAACTAAGTATTAACTGACATGGGGATCATTTTTGTATATCTCATTTTTTCTAAGTGTTTCACTTTTCTTCTTCATATTGTAACTGCTATTCTAAGAGCAAATCCTTCATAAAAGTTATTGCATTACATTCTTGATTAAATTATCTTTCCATTGATATATAGTTTTATGGTATATAGTTTTATAGTTTATGATAGTTTATGATAGTTTATCATATAGTTTATGATATAGTTATAGTTTATCATATAGTTTATCATATAGTTTATGATATATAGTTTTATGATATATAGTTTTATGGTACTACTCCAATATTGCCAGTTTTCCAAATGGCAATATTAGGAAAGAGAATGAACTCTACTTCTCTTCATTGTGCATTATTTATTTTAATTTTAATTGGATTAATTTTGCAGCCATATTTTATCTCCGGGTGTAATTTGTCTTACTGCTGTAAACTCCTGTGCCCGTTCAGATAAGTAGTGTGTTGAGTTAATTACACCTTGGGCATTGCCTCCAGGTGTTGTCAGCAGAAAAAGGCATTCGGGAATGGTTCCAGAATATTCTCTCCCCCCACCCCTTTCTAGCAATTAGGCCCAGTTTATGCAAAACAGATGCAAAATAAGATTGTCCCTTTGTGGAACAGGTCTAACGCAGCTTGAAGAGATTCAGAAAACCGAATAATGAGATTTTTGCAGGGGTGAAATGCTACCAGTTCGCACCGGTTTGGGCGAACCTGTAGTGATAAAAGCTACCAGTTCGTCTGTACCAGTATTTCCAACGATCAGCTGTGCCGCGCGATCGTCATGATCGCAGCAGGAAATCCTGCTTTCTAGCGAATCT